GCGGAAATTACTATCGCAATGCGAAATGAAAATCGCAACGAGAGAATCACAATGCGAAATGAAAATCGCAACGAGGGAATCGCAATGCGAAATGAAAATCGCAACGCGAATTTAATTTCGCGTTGCGATTTTCATTTTCGCGTTGCGATTCTCTCGTTGCGATTTTCATTTCGCATTGCGATAGTACTTTTTGCCTTCAACATAATGCATATTGAAATCAACAAAATCAACCATTACATTTCAATCAATTAAACAAGAACAAATAAGAATTATGTTAACATCAATTAAACAAATCAACTTTTACAAATCACCTTTTACAAATCAATTAAACAATCAAAAAATAAGCAATAATTATTAGAGAAAATAACACTTCTACTATTGAATCAACTTTTGCAGCCATACATCATTTTCACGCAGCTCACTTCTGAGATTAACCTGCATAAACCAAACATTGCTCAAACAACACTTTCTACACATCTAAAACCTACAAACAACAATTATTGAATTCTAGGTACTTAACCAAACATTTTCAAACCACAAGCCTATAAACATACCAATTGTTTATGGACATTTTTATAACGCGGATGCAGGTAGGCAGCGTCTCGTATATATCGATCTAGCCATATAATGTCGAAACCACAAGCCTACTGCAGCTCTATCTATATCGGTGGGAGGTAGATACTTATACTTCCTGTGATCAAACGGTCCAACGCCAAGCATACGAGAGGACCACAATCCCCTCTGGGTCCTTTCGTTTGTTGTGGTGCGGTCTCGTCTCTGCTAACTGTAATATTGAGCTTCTTTGGCTTCTTGTTTCCAGAACGAGTCCAATAATTTATCGCATCCAAGTATTTAGCCAAATAAGAGCTCCATCCCTTAATAATATCCCTTAAATCAGCCAATGATATGTAATTTATCATGCTGTCATATACTATTGCCTTAAGGGATGGGATCTGAAGCTCGACGAGAAGCCAATGGTTACGTTCCAAAACAGGGATAAACACCTGCAATCATAAGTAATAATTCATTCATTTGCGCACTTATTTATGAATACCTTTAAACTCAATCTAAAATAAACACTAACCTTATCGACCTCCCACCATGCAGGATAAAGTTTAGCTTGTCCATTGCCCAACGCAAATGATTCATCTCGTTGATTCTTCAAGTGAACTGCGTTAAAAGCCGTCGGCATTATTGTATACCGTGTATTTCTTTTATTTTCCTTAAGTTTCCTAATTATTAGTAGACGTGACACTCACGCATCGATATGCTGTTTTACAAAAAAATACATATATTAGTGAATTACATTAATTTTTAAACAAATTAATCAAATGAAAATATAAGAAAAATATAAGACTTACCCCTCCATCGAAATAGCCATTGTCTTCGACCCCTAATAATACGCCCCACCAAGACCGATCAAGCAACAAATAGATATCATCATTGAGCTTGCATATGTCAGTGAACACCCCTGGCTTCGCTCGTGTAGATAAAAATCAACTGCGGTCTTAGCCCAAAGGGTGTTATCCAGAATTGTGTCCGGTAGTTGTTTCCTCTCCTCTTCAGATACCGATATGGTACTGGCCGGTAACTCATACGAGAGACAACTTGAATCCATCATGTCCGGTACGTCAGAGGGTTTCTCAAGAATCCTACATATGACGCCATGTGAATCGGGCTCTTGAATGGTGGGAGGGACCTCTTCAACGATGACAGTGGCCTCTTGAACGGTGGGAGGGGACTCTCGAGGAATGATAGGGGCCTCTTCAACGATAGGAGTGGACTCTTGAGGGATGATAGGCGAGTCGGGCTTCTTCTTGCGGTGTCTTCGCACTATTGGGGTATACGGAGACTTAATAGCACGTGCACGCCGTCTGATGTGTAAACTCTGTCGTGCAAGAAAAACCCGACGTAAAGCATCCACCTTATCGGTCCGCTAAATAAAAATACAAATATCAGTAAATAAACAGACATGATATTTAACAGTGAAAACAAAGATAATATATTTCAAACTTTCAACCAAAAGACAAAACAAAGACAAATACTAACTTCACAGTGTTAAAGTAAAAAGTTTAGCAGTTTTGCAGCAACCGAATAAATTTACTAAGCAATCTAAGTGAAATGGTTAATTTAAGTGAAATTACGAGTAATTTATCATCAAGTTAAATATGGAAAATCTTAAACTTACCTCGTTGCGTAGAGTATGAACCTCATTCTGCAATGATACTACCATCTCACGTAGAGCAGCAACCTCACCACGTAAAGTAGACACCTCCACACGCCATGCACCATCGTTATCGCGTAGAGTACCGATCTCCTCACGCAAGGCATTGACCTCATCACGTAACTCCCTTGACTCATCCCGTGGAGGTGGAGAACAGGGAGATAGAAGTCGTGGCATCTTTGTCGGTCGCCTATCATGAGGTGATGGTGGAGAAGAGACTCGATGATGTGACGGGATAGGTGATGGCTCTCGTTGTAGAGGTGTATAGTCGGGTCGATCAGGTGATGGCTCTGGGTGAGGTGATGGCTCTCGAAGTGGAGGAAGTGGAGGCTGCTCATCATTCGTGCCATCAAAAAAACGCTGACTAGCTTGCCACCAATCAGTGGCAAGCTCAGCCTCCGTGGGTGTCAGTCTCATTAATGGAGTGTTGGCCTCCTAATAATAAAAACTAAAACAAAGTTAAACGTTACTATAATAACTTGTTTATATATGATAGTATTTGTGTTAACTTACATTATTTATTGTCGCATATGGTATTAAGTCTTCCCAATCCAACATACGTTTCCTCTTCCAGGAAATAGCCCTAGGAATATCATCTGAGGATTTTAATGCATATGTCCGCATGCTGGGGAAAGCCTCGAATATCCAAATCTACAAACAATATAATAACAAACATTAGTAATTGTTAAATAATTAATTATAATTTTGAAAACATTATAGAAATTCTTACCTTAAAGGCCCAAACAAAGCCTGACAAAGTGTATTTCGACCCATCGCCCCGCAAACTTTTGCGGTCATCAAAGGCAGACGATAACTTAGTCCAGGTAGCTTTCCATATATACGAACCCCACGGAAACAGATTCCATGCATTTAGGTCCTCTACCAATAATATTAGCTCCTGAGGAATAGGTTGTCTGGCCTCTCTGCCTAGAAAGCCGGCATACAAAAGTAGTAGAAGGCATACTCGGACAACATCGACGTCATTCATCCGAGTAAAACCATCTTTCTTATTAAACAATTTCTTCATGTCGTCGACGTGTAAGTTCGGTTTCTCTATTGACTCATCAGGAAAAACCCTGGATAACCATGATGGGCGGGTGATATGACGAGTGTACCGGCCTACATCATCGTGTCCGAATCGTAGACCAGTGATTAAGCAGAACTCCTTCCGCCCAAAACAAGTATACGCCGGTGGAAAATGAAACCATATCTCTTCCTCACCACGTTGTATACTGTCGGTAGATCGCTAGTCATGGTCTGAAGCCACAAATGGGTCAAACTAGCATCTCCACCCGGATGCTGTACTCTCAGCCATGGCCCGAAGCAGGTTTCTTCAAACAATTTTCTTTGTGCAGGTGAAAGCTTCGAAGCAATTGTAGTGGCTAGGCTAACTTTATTCCTTAATGTCAATGAAGCCGAAAAAAATTTCTACAAAAAAACAATAAACATACCAAGTTAGATATACCAAAAATTACACTGTCAAGATATACCAAAAACAAAACAATAAACATAAATAGTAGTTTATTCTTGAAACTAAAATTTGCAACACTGTTTCTGTCTTTTGCTTGAAATGAAAATCGCAACGAGATAATGAGAATCGCAACGCGGAAATGACTATCGCAACGAGAGAATCGCAACGCGAAATGACTATCGCGACCAGACAATCGCAACGCGAAATGAAAATCGCAACCGCGAAATTAAAATCGCAACGCGAGATGAAAATCGCAACGCGAAATGAAAATCGCAATGCGATTTTGGTTTCGCGTTGCGATTTTTATTTCGCGTTGCGATTATCTCGTTGCGATAGTCATTTCCGCGTTGCGATTCTCATTCTCGAAACTATTCTTCTTCTGCATTACTTCAACCAAAAGACAAAGCAAAGACAAATACTAACTTCACAGGCTAAACAGTTTAGCAGTATTGACAGCAATCGAATGAATTTAATAAGAAATCTAAGTGAAATGGTTAATCTATTATTGAAATTACCAGTAAACTTATCATCAATCTCAATATGAAAAACCTAAAATAATGCAAAAATTTCAAAATAAAAATAAAAAAAACTAACCCTCGGAGGTTGATTTTCCATTTCTGAATGATTGTGAGGGATTTTTGACTGTGAATGGTTGTGAGGGATTTCGCCGGCGATGGGGACGGAAATCTTCGGAGATGGGGACGGATTTTGCCGTAGAGAGTGAGAGATGGAGATGTGACTGAGTGTTGTGTTTTTGGGTTTGAGGTTATGAGTTGCGATTACTGTGGACGGTTCATTTTCCGATTTATTAAGAAAAAATACGTGTTTGGAATTTGAAAAAAAAATACGCGTTAATACGAATGGCGCTATGTAAATCGCGTTGCGAAAGTCAGTATCGTGTTGCGAAAGTAAGTATCTCGTTGCGATTTTTTATTATCGCATTGCGATAGTCAGTATCGCATTGCGATTTTCCCAATTCGCGTTGCGATTTACTTATTCGCATTGCGAATTTCCCAATTCGCGTTGCGATTTACTTATTCGCATTGCGAATTGGGAAAATCGCAACGATACTGTAGACCATCGCAACGCGATTTTCAACTATCGCATTGCGAAAATGCAACGCGAATTTGCGATAATGGAGATCGCGTTGCGAATTAGCGATCGCATTGTGATTTTGTTGGTCATTTTGGCAAATCCGGAAAAAATTGGTTAAAATCGTATATTATATGGAATTTTTGGTCACTGAAGTTATTTTCTCTTTTTAAAATCTGAGAACTCAACTAAAAAAATGGGATATTCAAAGTTGAGCGTTGTGCGCACTCAGAGCAGTTTAGCAGGTGGTCTTTTTCTCCATGATTCTCTGGGTCAGTTACGATTGCAGTGTCCGTGAAATTTCCTGCACCTATAAAATCTCTCATCCGCTGTAACCTATCCAAACAAAGATTTTCCTTAACTCGCCACTCAACTCACCTTGTCAACCCGCCCCACTCGCTTTCCATGTCTGATTCTAACTCTAGGTGAAACTCATTCTTCTCGAATCGGAATCTAAAGAAACGAGACTTTTCTTTTTCTCTCTTTGGTTTAATAAATTTGTGTTATATTACAATTACAGCTGCATGGATGGATCTTATGCTGAGATTGTGGTGGTGCGACATGGAGAAACGGAGTGGAACGCGGATAGAAGAATTCAGGTTTGAATTTCTCGAGAATATTTACATTATTCAGAAAATATTTTTAATCATTTTGATATGTTTTGAAATTTGGGATTGCACATAAAAGTCAAAAATCGAAATTGTTGTCTGGGAGCCATCGGAATATTTAGGGATATGGCGTGCGCTTGAGCTATGAGCTATTTGTTAATTTGGATTACTGATTTTAATCTTGTTTTGCTAGTTTGAGTTATCATTCACTAATAATTCTTATTTTATGTTGTAAGATTGTAACAATTTGTTTTCAGATTCTGAATATGAAGTAAATGTTGCACATTTTATGTGGTGCTAAAAATTAGGGATTTCAGAATTTGATCAAATAGGAAAGAAAAGAACTTGTTATTTATCTTCTTCATAGAAGCCTAGGTCAGTTATATTTCACATGAATAGAAGAAATGCTTAAATTTGTATGATTTATTATCTGTATTATATATAAAAGTCATATGGTAGAATGAAAGATTATGAACAACAATGCTCCGTCAGTTACATTCTCATGCTTGTTATACTGATCATAGTTTGATAAATCTTGGACAAGTTTCTTGGACAGATTATATCATAAAAACAAATAATAAAATCAGGTTCCTGAATCATTTGAGTTTACTTCTTATACGTGCTGATGCTGCAAATTTCATAGTTTGATTTGTACAGATACCGTCTCTTATTCTGTGGATGCCTTGGTTAATGTATCAATGTATCTTGCTACTTTGATTAGCTTAATTTTTCTTTTGATAGGGTCATCTGGATGTGGAACTAAATGAAGCTGGGAAACAGCAAGCAGTGTTAGTATGTTATTTACTTGTAAATTTTTTTCTTATACGACTTTTCTTGACTGATTTTGATGCCTTAAGCTCATTCATTGTCCCCTGCCTCTCACCTGTAGGTGGCTGATCGATTATCAAAGGAGCCTAAGATATCCGCTGTATATTCATCTGATTTAAAGCGAGCCCTTGTGACAGCTGAGACAATCGCAGCTAGATGTGGTGGGTTAGAGGTATAAATCTCGAAGCAATAACTATTGTGGTTCCGTTAAAATATATGTTTTGGGGTTGTAAAGGCAGTTGCATAGAATTGTGTTTCAATTTTTTCATGATATAGAGGTTGGCTAGAGCTTGGAAGAGTTTGGCATTATATGTCGGACTTTTATCTTTTCTATTGGTTGCAAACCAGGTTATAACAGACCCAGACCTAAGGGAAAGGAATTTAGGAGATCTCCAAGGCCTTGTATTTCGTGAAGCAGCCAAACTTAGTCCCAAAGCTCACAAGGCCTTTTTATCACACAGGACAGATCAAGATATACCAGTAAGTTGGTACTGGTTTGAACTTGAAAGATAACATTTGTGAATCTTGAAAGAAAGTCTTTGCTTAGGTAGTTTTATATATATATATAATTAGCACATATTCTCTATTTAAATCAGTAATCTGTTGGCTAGACAATCTCTGGCTTTGGGTTTTAATGTTGTGTATAATTTGCTAAATTATGTTCAAGTAATAATCATTTGAAGCATGACTCTATAACATATAATTCTTTAAGTTAACATAACAACTTCTGTTCCTGACCATAGGTCCAAGTTTTGATAGCATGCTAACAATGTAATGGATCAAATTGAATCTATTTCTTGTTTTCTTGATTTTGCGTCTACCATCCTCTCCCGGATATTACATATATATATATGTGTGTGTGTGTGTGTGTGTGTATTCAATGCCTAATCTGATTCACTTAATATTCAGGGTGGTGGAGAAAGCCTAGACCAGCTCTTTCAGCGCTGCACATCTTCATTGCAGAGAATTGGCAAGAAGCATAAAGGTATGCTGTATAATTTGTCAAAGGGAACTCTTGAATCATAGGTGAAAATGATATGGTTTATGGACTGTTTCTGTAATTTTTAGTACTCATTCAAACTTCAGTACATACCATTACACCTAATATCCAGATGTTGCTTCTGTAAATTTCTGAACTGTACAAGTCTTTGATCTACTTTATTTGCTCATTTGCCTTTCGATATCCCCGCAGTATGAGATAATATAGTTTAGGTTCAAATATCTGAACTGTTTCTGTCTCTGTGATAGGGGAGCGAGTTGTTGTGGTTTCACATGGCGGTGTCATTAGATCACTCTACCAGCGGGCTTGCCCAAATGGAAAGTCGGGAGGGAAGGTGCTTAATACATCAGTAAACATATTTCACTTGTCTGACGAGGAATGGGCCATAAAATCATGGGGTGATGTTAGTCATCTCCATCAAACAGGATATCTGAAGTCCGGTTTTGGAGGGGACAAAACATCTGGTTAGTTTGTAGTTTATACTTGATATGCATTACGTTGGCCATTTGTAATTTGGTTTTTTAGACAACAACATGAATTGTTTCTTCTAAACTTGATTCTGGAACAGCTCTTACATTCACTAATGAGGGAGCGTTTATCTTAATTACCGATGGGAAGTTGTTATATATATAAAAATAGATGCTCAGGTTTCAGGCATGCGGATCATTTGTGGGACTATAAGCACACAAAAGCGTTGCAGATGTGACTATCACCTACCGTGCTTTCTTTCTACTCATTGACTTATTGTTCAAGTTGGTCAAACTTTCCCTTCCATCTTTATTTTTCATATACTATAACTTTTGTTTACCTCAAATGCACTCAATCATGCTTTTGACCTCTCTATATATAATGTTTTCATTTCAATTATGCCTCTCCATCATCATCAAGTTGGTCAAATTCAATGTTCAACATCTTTAATATATATATATATATATATATATATAGGGATAATTTCTTTTTACACAAATCTAAGATTATTAGATGAGTGAAAAAAGACGACCGAGATCAATAATAAGAAATGAGAAGATATTCACTGGAAAAAAATAATGAGTCAATCTTAGCTATCTATTTTCACTCATCCAACGGTCCTATATATATATATATATATATATAGAGAGAGAGAGAGAGAGAGAGAGAGAGATCATCCAATTAGATTGTGTAAAATTATTTTAGTTTTACATAGATTTATGACTGTTAGATGAGTAAAAATAGACTATTGAGTTTAACAATAGGAAAAAAAAAAGATATTTACGGGGAAAAAGAAGAAGTTAATCTCAGTTATCTATTTTCATTCATTCAATGGTCATAAATCTGTGTAAAATTAAAAGAATTTTACACAGTATAAATGGATTTTAATCCATATATATTTAATAATATTAGAAATAATACAAACATGATAAATAAAGTATGATACAAATATAGGGATGGAAAACAGGCGGGTCGGGTGCATATACCCCCTCTCTCATCCCCATACCCACCTAATATTTTTCAATCTACCACCCGCTTACCACCCATGATGGGTACAAATTTTCAAATTCACACCTGCCCATGCGGGTACATTTTCAAATCCATTCTCACACCCACTACCCACTAGCGACATACCCATCTAGACTCGCCTGACAGCAAACTAATGGGATGTTGGAGTTGGTTCCTAGACAGTTCGTGATGGGGTAGCAGCGCATGCTTCAATTTGTCAAAGGAGTGGCTCTACGAATGTTATGGAGACAGATTGTAGGGAGCATGTAGTCGTAGAGCTGGATTGTTGTATTGCTTTCGATGTTAATGCTCATAGTGCGCCTAATATGGGTTTTGAGGGGTTAAAGAACATGAAAACTACTGCTTTTGATGTTAATGCTTATAGGACGGCTAATTTGTGTTTGGATGGGTAGCATGGGCTAAAGAACATAGAAAGTGACGTGGTTAGTGGGATTATGAGTTTAATCAAAGAGACGGATATTTCCCTAATTAAAGACCAAATTAAAGACTAAATATCCTTAATATTTGGTTAAATTATATGTTATATATTATATAATATTAAAATTTATAAATTAGTCTCTAAAATTACACCTAAATTCATAATGGTCCAAAATTTAATAGATATTTAGCTGGGCGGGCGGATGTGGGGCGGGCGGATGCGGGGCGAGTAATGTCTCAAACCCATTACCTGCCCACCACCCACGACGGGTACCACTTTATAAATCCACACCCGTCCACTACCCGCTAAAATTATAACAATCCCCACTCCATTTAGAGCGGATGCGGTGTGAAATCCACAAAACTGTACCCGTTTGCCATCCCTATACAAATATAGTATGATACACATATATGAATGAATCAACTTATATTCAACGATTATTAACTTGACATAATTTTATGGACATTTAAAAAATAAAACAAATAGAACACAAACTATAAATATTTAAGAGATACTCTACCTTTTGCTTTTGCTTACTACGATATATTATTATGTATTTTTCTTGGAACTAAAAAAAACACACACGAAAGGACAGTAAAGGTGGGGAACCATTTTAAAGGATTAGCTATCCTCACCTTTTTTTGGCCCCAATTTTACAAGGGAAAAATGCATAATCATCCAAAGTTATATTTGTTTTGTATGTTAATGGCATTTAAATTATTATAATTGATATAAATATTTAATACGTTTCATATATTGTTCACCAGAGATGTGTCGAAATTGATTAGCATTTTGAAGAATTGTAGTAGTATAAATTTGAAGGATTTGTCATTATGTTACGAAAGAACATAAAACTAATAGAATAAGGCATCTAATATTATTCGTAATTTATGGAGATGGTCACGAAAATAAAGAAGAAACATATAGGAACAAATTTTAGTGGGAAGCAAAATAAAGAATTTAATATGATCACAGAATTGGGAGTGGGACGTTGAATTTAGTATTATTTGAAAACTGAAAAATTAATATTCAGCTATCAAGTAAATGAAACTTAATTAAAAAAAAGGATTAAGTAGAGGTTAGACTTGATTTGGATTGAGTTATGGTCTATGATAAGATAAGTTGAGTCGGGTCATTTTGGGTTTAGACTTGATTTGGATTGAGTTATGGTCTATGATAAGACAAGTTGGGTCGGGTTCGAGTGATGTTAATATCACATCAGTTGATTTTCGATTCAGATGAATATAAGATCGATTGATTTTTAGATCGGATCAATATCTGGTTAATCGTTTTTCGAGTTGGGTCAATTTTGAATAAATATCAGATCAGTCATTTTTTGTTCATGTCAAAATTGGATCTTTGGGTTAATTAGGGTTGAGTTGGTATAAGTTAAATAAAATAAATATAGAATTATTGATATATTCTTGTAAAAAATGTATCTTTTTTTTAATCAATCCCATCATTTATGCTCAATTTCATTTGAATTCAATTACCATTTAGGGATGATAATTAAACTCGAATTCAACTTTTAAGACGGTTTTGAGTTTACAATATTTTTTTTGATTAGGCTCGAAAAACTTGTAAGGTGACTATTTGATAAGAAAAATAAATTTTCATTACAAGTTTTAGTACCGATTAAAATTATAAATTTGATGTTTAATATTCAATTATAAATATAATATTTTTATTGAGTTTAAAAATAATAATAACATATTAGTTATTTGAATGAATATTAGTTTAAACCATTTTATAAATGATATTATATCTTAGATAATATTTTGATTTTAAATTATAAATAAAAATAAATATTTTGTATTATAAAAATAACTTATTTTATATTGAATTTAAGTAAATGTATTTTCTTGAAGGAATTAAAATGAATTAGAAATTAATTTATGGTAAAGTATACAAATGATCCCTCACTATAGGGTGTTACTTTGTTGAGTCATTTAACTATTAAAAGTTATAAAATGGTCCTTCGACTATAAGATGTTTTGTTGAGTTTCTTGACTATTAAAAATTACGAAATGATTACCTGACTATTTATATTCTAAAACCGTCCTTTTCCGTTAAAATTGACACCTTTCTGAGCTAGATATTAACCTGCTGACCGAGATATGATAAAATTATATTTTAATAATGTTTACTGGCATCACCGTTACTTTTAAGCATTGACTCGCCAACATAATATTTCAAGCACTAGCTCGCCGATATAATGTAAACAGATATTCAATCTACAAAGTACAACTAAAACAATTCCGAGATAATATTTTATCATATATTAGTGAACATGTTAATGTCCACTTCAAATAGACACTAATTTTTTAATGAAAAGGACGAGTTTGGAATATTTGAATAGTAAAATGACCATTTTGTAAATTTAAATAGTCAGAGGACTCAACAAAGTAGCATCCTATAGTCGAGAGACCATTTGTGTACTTTACCGATTAATTTAATAACTTTGGAAAGTTTTAATTGGTTCCAAAGTAAAATATTAATTTAAGAAATCATGATTTGATATAAGTCGTTTGAAAACTAATTTAAAATTTTTGAATTAAAATGTAATAGAATCTAAAATAAATATTTAATCAACAAATCATTATTTAAATGATTTATATATTAATTTAATATTTTTAGACAATTAATTAATGAAATCTAAAATGAATATTAAATTAAAAAATTTAAATGTATTTGTTTGATTAATTTGAGTTCAATAAAATATAATATATGTTCAAAAATAATTCTAAATCATTTGAAATTGAACATCCATACCCATCAAATTTATAATGCTCAAACTAATGACCTCAAAAAATAATAACAATTTTTTTACCATTGAGGTTACTTGGTTTATGCATAGAAATTTAAATAAAATTGTACATGTATGTTGGATCAATCCTTAAGCCTTAGGTCCGACTGGCTTTAAAAAATATGAGAGTCGTCACCAACCATTTTTAAATTGAGATTGAACCATATAAAATCAGGTAATTTTAATGACAATTTGATTTTACTAAAATACCAGTTTTGGTTTGCGAAATTAGAAAACGGGTTCAAGAGTCGATTATGTATTAGGAAATATTAGCACCCATGTAATCAATAATTTTACCCATGATAAAATAATAATAATAAAAAAATAAATAATAAAAATAATAATAAAAAAGAGAAGGGAACGTGTATCCCTTAATATCTGGGGCATTCAAAGCCCCAGTTACTGTTGCTGCCATCAACAAGCTCCAGTAGCCTCTACGCCAGGTTACTGTTGCTACACCAACACTCCACGCCACCACTAGGGGTGTAAAAAGCTGACCCGACCTGTAAAACTGACTGAAATTGACTCGAGTCAAAACTGTGTTTGACTTGCGTTGTGGTGATTCGAAACCGACTCGAGTCAGAACTGGTGTTGATTTGAACCCAAGTTGGATCTTGAAATTGTAGATCTGAACCCTACCTGCACCCAACTTGAGAATGACCTGAACCCGAATTGAACCGAAATTATGATACCCGAACCCAAACTGAATTCGACTGATATGAACCCTAATCCAAGATTAACCTAGTAAATAACTGGTATTACTCGACCTATTTTCAACTTGACTTGTAATTGACTCAACCTGTAAATGATTCGACTTGTTAAATTGATCTGATATTTACATGACTTGATATTTACTTGACTTATAAGTAATAAGTTACAA